TGAGATCAAGGTGTTGGCAGGCTCATTCTCTCTTTGAAGGCTCTAGGGAGGATCTATTCTATGCCTCTCTCCTAGTTGCTATCAATTCTTGATGTAATTTGGCTTGTAGATGCATCACCCCAATCTCTGCCTCCATCTTCACATGGTGTTCTCCCTGGTGTGTTGCTGTATTTTCATTCGGCCTTCTTATAAGGATGCCAGCATGAAATTTAGGGCTCATCCTAATCCAGTATGATGTCATCTTAAACTTGATTATATTTGCAAAGACCCTGTTTCCAAGTAAGATCACATTCACAGCTATCACAGGTTAGGACTTCAACATGTCTTTTGCGGGGGTATAACTCAATACACAACATTCAATAATTTACCATTTAATGATAATAAGAATATATTGTGTGGTTTAAATATCTATCATATTGGATTTTCACAACAACCTCAATGTATCTTACATATTAGAAACCTTTTGGAATAGCGGGCATTATGAAATTCAGAGCTATTTCATGATACACTCAGCCATGAACCTATCACTTCTAAACGTCGAGGGGATTCTCTCATGCTGCACAACTGAAATATTTGGTGAACAAGTCCATGAACACGATACTCAATAATCATGAGTGGCTGGATTTCTGCCATAATCCCATTGAGACTTCGTCTCACACAAGGCGGTGGAGAAAAGTGCTGTAGCAATGACCAGACACATAGAAGTACTACCCTCTGGGATTCTCAACAATAAGTAATTAGCAAAAGGAATCAGTCATATGCCTGGACCTTGGCCTGGAAAACTTCATACTTGGGTGGGCTCTAAAACCAAAGCTATGTGTTGTACTTATGTGACCTCACTCTGGCAAGACAGTGTGCTGGCTGGATGGTGTTAGGTACATCCATTGCCCATTGAGAGTAGGGCTGAGGCTCCTCATTATCATGTCCACAGCAGGGTACTGAGGACAGAATGGGTGCTACATAGATGCTTGCTGCATGCTGTCTGAAGCTGAGGGACTAAAGTGCCTCCACACCAAGAGCTTCTACCTGTTGGCATCACACCTGCTAGCAGGTGTGGATGTGGGTCGGCAGATGACCCTGAGGATAGCTGGGTTAGGATTAATTCACTGCCAGATATCTTCTCTTAGTTCACCACATTCTATACACACACACACACACACACACACAATCTTAAGTTTATCTTATATCTGAGTTAAGACATAATTATTCTGAAGCAGTGGTTTTCAAACATTTGAAGAATTCTTGGCAACACAACCATTCAATACAAAACTCTGTGTGGAAGGTGTGTATGAAGTCTTGAAGGGAACTCAGACCCTGATGATAGTGAGCTGCCTCTTCCTGTTCTCTTCTCCCTCCCCCATGCTCCAACAGCGACCCCTGTGGCAGCTCTAGGGAAGCCCGGTCCTTGCAGAAAGCAGACCCATGCCCTTAGCATCCCCCCGGGAAGCAAGCCATCTGGTACCTTGTAGAAACCCCTGCCGGGGACAGTGCTCTCCCCAAGCCCAGTGTCAGCACTTCTGTGTCTGTATGAATGCAGATTCCTTTCCAGTGAACCCCATGCATTCTTCACTGCCCTGAGAATTTTTCCCTGATGTTCCTCACCACCCAGTGGAGCAAGCACTCCTCTATGCCCCTTCCTCATGGCTGCACTGGGGAGCTGGGGGCTCTTAGGGCACTTTACATTCACGTGACTGTGTTGGCCTTGGTGTCTGGGCCAAGCTCCTCATGCAGCAGCGGCAGGACCGCCTGGCTGGCAGAACCCTGCCTGCTGCAGCGTGGTTCCACTTCCTTTTCTTCTGCTTCCCTCCACAGGGCTGGTCACCATCCTCTAAATTAATAGATTTCCTTTCACGTAATTGAAGACAAGTTATAATCATCACCTGATAATATTAATTATATCAATAATTGATATTGATTATATCAATAATCATCACCCTGATTACTTCTGAGCACCAGAAGGCAACATTGACAATGATGTTTGAAAAGATGGAAGAAAGATTTAAAATTCCTAGGAAACAAAGTGCCCACTCTTGTGCCCCCTGACTTTGCATTTCCTGTTGTTCTGCCTCCCAGGTCAGTGTCCCCCTTCTCTTCAGCTGAGCAGGAGAGCCTGCCGTGACAAGCTGTCACCTGCCTGTTCAGGGGCTCTTCTCCAAGGCTCAGCCACCTGCTGGGATGGTGGGGGCGGCGGTGACAGGCCAAGCTCAGTGTTCAGTGAGGCCCAACAGTGCAAGGTGGCAGGAGGGCTGGAGGCTCCTTGCTGTGGGCCAGCACTTCCACTTTCCAGGCAAGAGGGAGCGGCCCCACAGCTGTCACTGACAGCCCCTGGGGTTTGCTCCAGACTTGGCAGAGGAGGACAGTCTCAGACTCCCAAATCACCTCTTTGAAATTCAGAAGAGCCACACTGTCATCTCCCCTCCTCTCTCTGACACAAAAACACACAAAAGATAAGCAAGCCCTAACTCTCTTTTACTCAGAGACCAACACTGCCAAGTTTTCTCTGTCTCCCACTCTCGCACACAGATTGATACATTCTCACACAGAATCTGGTTCTCTGTCTCTCTCTGTCTCTCTCTCTCTCTCTGTCTCACCCACACATCACACACACACACACACAGTATACTAATTAAACTCCAACTCTCTCCTACCTCACTTGACCCAGGTATTTTGAGAGAACCAAAGCCCCTGTTTTCTGGGGGAGCCCAGGCCATCTCGAGGTGTGACAACAGCACCTCCCCTAGTGGCAACACACAACTTGGGGTCTCTGCACTATCAGACATTGACCTCCAGGTGTTTGGTAGCTGCTGCTTCACTGGATGAGTTCTCCTCCTCTCTTCCCAGCTGTGGGGACCGTGTAGATAAAACCAGTAAATTCATTCATGTTCGGGGGGATGATGAGAACAGAGAGTCCTGCTGCAGCCACAGCCTGAACATGCCCTCCAGGCATTTGTCGTGTAGCTGGCATTTGAGCTGAGGACATCTCCCCCACCACAAAAGCCTGCCCCCATCCTCAGGGGAAATCAGGACTGTCTTCTTTGCAGAAAGTGGGATGTGTGCCTGGGGATGTCCAGCCTGGTTGCCTTTATTCCTCCCAGGCTCCAGATAGGAAACCAGATAAAAATACACTTTGCTGTTTGCTCCTTTTTTTTTTTTTCTCCCTAGCTTGGGTTAACCATTTTTACATTTTTACAGTATTTTTGCTAACGTCAACCATGTATCTTTGGTGACTTGAGCAGATTGTAAGAATGGGCAGTATAAAAATATCCTCTTTCAGTGGAAGCATGAGGTAAATGAGGAGGGGAGTGAGGGAGCTGCCGTCCCCGCTCTGTGCTGTCACTACTGCAGCCAGCGGCTTCATGTTCCGTGTATTATGAGTGAGACAATGCCTAAGCATAGAAAAAAGCACGATGGGGTGAAATCCTGGCATTTGGCATAAAGAACTGGAAAGGGGGGCCATATTTGCTATAGGGAGTGATGAGCTTTGGAGGACAGCCTTGGCGAGCACCCTGTTTAACAGCTGTAATCGGCAGTGATACTGGACAGCACAGGCCATGCCAGCTGTCTGCTCTATGCTCACCTCCTATTACTTCTCCTTTAGGAACTCCGTGCTTCAGCCATGGTGGATTGCTTGCATGTCCCAGCCTCTCTCTTATCCCTGGCCATTGCACAAGCTGCTCTCTGCCTGGACTTCCCTCCTCCAGTCGCTTTGCCTGGTTAACTTCTACTTGTTCTCTAGGGCTGAGCATAGTGAAAATAATAGTTAACACTGGGCTGTGTAGGTGCTGATGAGAAACTGAGGCACAGAGAGGTAGGTTACTTGCCCCCGTTGCACAGGTAGAAAGAGGCAGTGCTAGTATCCAAACCCAGCCAAAGGCTCCAGGAGTTCTTAACCACCATCAGAAACTGCTTCTCTAACAGCTCCTGCCTGCCTTCCCTGACCCTTCCCTGTGTTGCGGAGTCTCTTCTTGGTTTCAGAATACCTTGTACCTACTCTCATCTTCACCTTCCCTCGCTTTTCAATGTTTTTAACAAAATATTTTAAGCTTCTGTTTTCTTGTCTGCCTCCCCACTGTCCTGTTCAGTTTAAGGGCAGGGACACTGGCTCATTTCTGGGACACCAGCTTCTCAGCAGGACCTGGCACAGAATGGTGCTTATTGCCTATTTCTTGATGGGATGAATGAATGAGTGGATAGATATGAATCCCTTAGGTAAACAAAACTGGCCAAGGTCTGGCAGACAAGCTGAGGGCCAAGCAGAGAGCCAATTTAGAAAGCTCCATTGTGGGATTGGAGGCAAGAAGGAGAAACAAGCCTAAGGGCGGCCCTATGGAAAAGGACATCTCCAGCCTCCGGAATCTTGACCTCCACTGAAGGGCTGGCAGGACAGTCAGCATGTAGAAAGACCACAGCACTGGGACCATTCAACCCTCGTGAAACCCGGGGCTATCTGCAGGCTACAGAGTTAGGAAAACCTGCCCCCCAGAGGTGGAATGCAATGAAAATGGGGCAGAGGGCAGCATAGCATGACCTTGTAGTGGCAGGGCTCTCTAGGAGGCATGCTTCATCACTCTTCTTTCCTTTTGTATCATTGCGATTCCTTCTGACCCAAATGTGTTAGCTTTTACATTGCCAGGGAACAAAGAAAACCATAACTTGTATCTCATGTAGCCAATCTCAGGTAGTTCCAGTAAGTTTATGACAGTTACACTCTCTCCTCCCACCCACCTCCCCTGCAGCAACATTGGAATCAATATATAGGGAACCAGGGCACATGTGGTGTGTCCACATAAGGCTAGAGGCCAGCACAGGTATGCTGGTCACCTTGAGCTTCTCTAACTAGGCACAGCAACATAGCTTGTGCATGAGGCAAGAATAGCCTGTCTGTCATAATTCACAAGATATGGGAGTGAGGGTTTGAAAGGATGTGCATGCCACGTTTTTTATTGCCTGCCTTCAACCAGAAACCTGATGGTTGGGCTGACCACGCTTTCTCCTTTCAGGGAGGGAAGATCCCCGTGAGATGGACAGCTCCAGAGGCCATCGCCTACCGCAAGTTCACTTCAGCCAGCGACGTTTGGAGCTATGGGATTGTCATGTGGGAAGTCATGTCATTTGGAGAGAGACCCTACTGGGATATGTCCAACCAAGATGTGAGTGTCAGCAGCACTTTGTCACCACAAACCCTCATCGAAGGGATCCCAAAGGCAGTAGCATACCAGTTCTTCCTGTTTTCAGCTCATGGCCTCATAACCTGAACCTGCAGTGTTCAGGGCAGGGGATACACGGACACCCTTAGCATGGATGTTGGAACTAATCAAAGAGCCCAGCATGGAGGTGTGAAAGTCACTATGACCACAAAGCCTGTAGAGGTGCCAAGGCCACAGTCCCCAACCCAAGAGACAAAGGGCTGTTTAATTCCAAATGGCTGAGGACCACGAATAGATCAGCCCCAAATTAAGCACCAAAGTCTACCCTGCTTCTAAGCATTTAGATTCTGTGTTTTCCTTCCCCATGCACGACAGAGGGGAAGGAGGCACTGGACTGAGGGCCAGGGCCTGGGTTCCCATCCTGCTCTGCCTCTGATGGCTGTGCTCCATTGAGCCAGTTGCAGTTTCTTTGTGGGACTTGTACCTCCTAGCTTTAAACAGAGGAATTGTCAAGGGCCCTTCTTCCCTGAGAATTCACTCTTCTATGATCCCAGATCACCTATCAGTGAAGGAAGAGGTGGAAAGCTTTCCAAAGCTGGTCAGCTTCAGATGGACCACAGGAGAGGGCCTCTGTCTGTGGGGAGGTCAGCACTCCCCCAGGATGCCCTCAAGGGAAAAGGGTGAGAAAGGAAGAGAAGGGTCATCTAACTTGCTTTAAATAGAGGCTTTTTGGAATGTTCCACATGAGAACCTTTGCTCCATACTTACTAAAAGGTGAGGAAGCCTTTTTAGGATGATTTGCTTTGATAAGTCTCCAATGAAAAGTCCTGCCTGAATTTCAACACTGCCTCTCACCCTGAGCTGATCTCCAGGGACCAGGGCTCTTTTGTGCTTTGAATACATACCCTCCCCTTGGTGCTGAGAGGATTACAATTTGCAAAGCTGCATATCTATGTTCTCTGCTTGCCCTTCCCATCACTTTGGGAGAGGGGGCAGTTTTTATCCTTCCCAACTTACAGCTAAAAGAGAAAGAACGGCCCCCAGTTCAGATCTGAGTCCGCTGGCAGCCAGCCACACTCTAACCCCCTCTGTGCTGGGGTGAACACTGAGGAATTTGTAAGCTGTGGAGTCAGCAAGCCTGCTCTCCTGCCACAGGTTTAGTGCCATGGCAGCTGCTCAGAAGATTGAGAAAGTGGCAATTTCCCAGAGAGACTGTGGAAAGAGGAGCTGGGGTACCTCTATGACAGTACTCCCTGTTGCCATGGACAGAGTGGCTCCAGCCTGGAGTGGGTGAAATGACTGCATCCTTAACCAGGTCCTGAAGTCAACCATGGCTGGTGTCTACGTCCTCTATTATCTGTGATTAGCAACACCTTGCCTCTGCTCCTGGAGCATGTCAAATCAGTAAGTGGTGGAGTTGGTACAAAGCCTGCTTTCATGAAATCAGCTGCGCCCTGGTTCTGTCTATACCAGCTGCTAAATGAGTATAACACGTTAGCTAGAAAAAGCAGACCCAGCAGGGCGCAGTGGCTCGCGCTTGTAGTCCCAGCACTTTGGGAGGTGGAGGCGGGTGGATTGCTTGAGGCCAGGAGTTTAAGACCAGCCTGGTCAATATGGTAAAACTTTGTCTCTGCTAAAAATACAAAATTAGCCAGGCGTGGTGGCGCATGCCTGTAATCCCAGCTACTCGGGAGGCTGAGGCACAAAAACTGCTTGAGCCTTAGAGGTGGAGATTGCAGTGAACCAAGATCTCGCCACTGCATTCCAGCCTGGGTGACGGAGTGGGACCCTGTCTCAAAAAAAGAAAAAAAAGAAAAGAAAAGAAAAATCAGACCCATCTTATCCTGCCCAAGACCTTAATCTGATTAAGAACAATTCAGCACATACAGAATGAATTACAAAACTGTCTGACAAGCAGGATTTCACATTCAAGATATTTTCTGTCAATGCTGAAAACAAATAAAATTTCTGATATTAGACTTCCAGAATTCCCAAATTATTCATTTAACACACAGTCAGTGTATGCTAGTTGTGACTAAGCACTGTGCTTGCTGGTTCTATTCTTGAGGGTTTTATAGTCCAGTGGCATAAACATGGGGCTTTGAGAACATTTGAGTGGAGGAGGTAAGGGAAGACTTCCTGGACATTTGACATTTGAGATGGGTCTCAGAGGGAATAAGAACATCTGTAGAGTAGCAGTTTATTCTAATTTTGCTGTGCTTCTTCAAAATAAAGCCCCTAAGCATTGTCTCAAGTACAATTTTGCTCCCCGTGGGAGGCAAGAGGTGACTTCATGCCCATTCAGAAAGCTTCTTACAACCTGGCCTGGGAGAGAGCCAGGAGGGGCTCCCAGCTGCTGGACTGAAGCCTCACTCATCAGAAACCACCAAGGTGGTGGCGGTAAAGGATTTTACAGATGACAATTGAAAGGTTTTAAGGAAGAGAATTGCAGAGGCAAGTCAGAGTGCTGGTAATTAGGCTTCCAGAGCCCAGGAAGGCCTTTGAACATGTACAGAGAGTTTGTCAGTCAGAGAGAGCAACTTGGAAGTTCTGCTGCTTGGATCTGATTGACAGAGATAATGAGAGTGGCAGTGTCTGTGGAGAGGAACTGCAGTCTTATTGAAACATCAGAGCTTGACTTAACCCGCTCTACCCTGGTTTCTCCACTACTCTGAGCTCCTCCACTTCCCTCTCTCCAGTGCAAGGTCGAGTAGGCACTACCCACAGCCTGACTCACTAATGGGAAATACATGTCTGGGGGCAGCCGGGAGCAGGCCCTGAAAATGCAAGGGCAAGAGGAGGGGCTCTGCCCATTTCCCAGAGGAGTTCTAGTCACTCCATCCAGTCCCAGAGAGCACCTGGGGTCAAACTCCCTGCACCTGATCCCTACCGAACCCGCGTACCTACCATTTCTCAGTACAGGTGAATAAAGGCAACCCCTCACCACACCTCCTCCCTGCCCCTTTAATTAGATCCCAGGACATTTGCTTACACTGGCCTTTGCAATGGCCAAAAGAGTTGTTGCTGAACTTTCAAAGTGAGACAGCAGAGAGCTCTGGGTAACAGTTGCCTGGACTGGTCTCCTTACCCTCACAGCTTTACTTTTACTTCTCTCTGGAAATGCCATCTGATTTCATTCTAATCTTCAATCTTCTCAGTAGCCACTTATCTCATCCTTTTATGGACCAATGAAAGGAGCCCAGAACTCACTTCTGTTTTCAACTCTGCTCAGTAGGACACACTATGCCTCCAACCTTAGGCCATCTCTTTCCATACAATTCAAACCTGGTCACTGGCATTTACAGCCATCATCAGATAGCCAGAATGAAGGTGTTTCTCCACTCCTCCTCCCTGTTCCCCATACCTGCTAGTGAGGCAAGTGTGACAGAGAATGATCTCAAAGTCCTATTAGAAGACCAAAGTTATTTTTTGATATAATGATGTTGTAATTTGACTATAAATTTCATGTGCTCAAAAATTTAGAAAACACACAAATCCTAAAGAAGATAATACAAATCACCAAAGGCATAGTACTTCAATCAAAGACTTGAGTGGATAAATGCTACTCATATACCAATGAAAGACCTCAGTATTTTTTCCTTTGGGCTGAAGGGTAAAGCACACTTTTTTCCCTATGTGCAAGAAGCATTAATGCTCCCAGATTATCAGCTCAAGTAATAACAACAAAATTATTTACAAGAAGTAACAAATGGAGTAAAGTCCCATTTTCTAAACACAAACATGGTAGAGGGTTCCCACGGCTATGCTGTACCCTGCAAAGTAAGAAAAGTTCTTGATGTTTTTAAGCATTATCTTCCTGGACCTCCAAAATGAGCAGTAGTAGCTCCCTTCTTTGCCGGGAAGACATCTACTATAATAGACACAGCCGTAATGACACCTTCTGTGTGATAAGGATTCATCCTACTACTCATCTGTGCTGTGCTCAACACACATCACTTCGGTGTCATTTAATCTTTGTAACAATCTCATCTGTGAAGTTTCAGGAAGTCAGGTGACTCTCCCAAGGTTCTATAGCTAAGAAGAAATGGAACTTGGATTTGAAACCAGCCTTCCAAGGTCTATGCACTATGTAGTACTATCACCAACACAGCCAAATGGGCCTGTGCTCCTAGCTGACCTGCCCAGAAAGGAGAAATCAGTGGCTTTTTGATGTCCTCTTAAAAAGAAACTAAACATACCAAACAAAGAGCAAATACAAAACACAAATACCAGAACAGTCTTCAAAAAAAAAGTGACTCGTGCCTGTAATCCCAGCACTTTGGGAGGCCGAAGCGGGCGTATCACAGGGTCAAGAGATCGAGACCATCCTGGCCAAAATGGTGAAATCCCGTCTCTACTAAAAATACAAAAGTTAGCAGGGCGTGGTGGCGCGTGCCTGTAGTCCTAGCTGCTCAGGAGGCTGAAGCAGGAGAATTGTTTGAACCCGGGAGGTGGAGGTTGCAGTGAGCCGAGATTGTGCCACTACACTCCAGCATGGGCAACAGAGTGAGACACCATCTCAAAAAAAAAAAAAAAAAAAAAGCCAGTGGGATGCCATGATGCCATGCTATGGAGGCAACAAGGGAAACAGAATTGAGTTCCATTCAGTCTAGAGCTTACAGGGAGAAGACTCAGCGTGTGTATGGGTACCCATTCTCTTGATCCCTTGCCAGAAGAGTTTGGATCAGCTGGTCACACCATGGAGCTGTGCTCTCACAGAAAGGCCCTGACTCCAGTGCTCTTTCTTGTTCCAGGACAGGTGGTAGAGCTTGTCAGTGAGGAAAATTATTATCTGGGGCTCTAACATCTAACGACCTGAGCAGAGATGGCATTAGTTTAGGGGACCACCAGGAACGTTAACTGGCCTGCCCTGGAAGACTTTGGGGATGCCTAGCACCGTGAGAGGTTGAATTGGACTCTAGCTCCTCCTGCTGGCCCTACCTAACTTGCCCTTATGCAATCCAGAAGGAGCTCCAGGGGCCATTCAATGGGTAATCCCACTTGGAGATTCTGTGACTGGGACCCTCAATCTAATTATTTGGAAGGAACTGGAAAAGGGTGCGGGGTTTGTGAGCCAGGCTGATGGGAATGATGCCCAGCTGCTCATTCTCATAGATTACTTAGTTTAGCTCCATGCCCTTGTTGCATACCGAGAAGACATCAGACACCTCCAGGGGCTGTTCTCCAGAACAGAGATTACTCTTACAGCCCAACAGAGGCCTAGGAAATGCAGCTTTTGAAGTATTCAAAACTTAAAATCAAGCACCGCTGTGATTTATTCCCAGCCCCATCTTTTGCTAGTTGTGTGCCCCTGGGCAAGTTACTTCACTGTTTATGCCTCCATTTTCTCATGGGGAAATGGGGTTAAAATGGTTGTCCTCAGAGGATAGCAGGGAAATTTGATTGACTACAGTTTAGAGGAGAGAGAAGATTGTCAGTGCAACACAGTGTTCAAAAGAAACTATTCCCAGTCACTGGATTTTTAAGTATAGTAATAAAATTGATATGGTTTGTATGCTTGATTTTCACCCTATTGAATGGAAGAACTAATACACCTTGATTATCTCCAGTGACTTGGTTATCATTTTATCTCATGTCCTGTCTCATGTCCTACATACTGTGCATAGAAATTGTAAAAACTAAACTAACTGAAAATACTCACTTTTTGACCAATTTATAAAGTATGTAAAAAAGAATAATCAGTTGAAATGAATCGGATTATTTATAAGTAGAGGCAAAAACACCAAAAACCCCTGAAGTCCAAATTATTTCCTTTGTTGTTTAAAATGCTTTAACTATTTATTTTAATATAAAATCAATGCAGGATTATTATAGAAAACAAAAAATTCAAACAAGCAAAGAGAAAAACATAAAAAATATTCAGGTTTCTGCCTATCCAGAGGCAACTGCTATTAACACCATGCTGTATATCCTTCTAAGGTCTTTTCTATGCATGTGTATAATAGTTGGCTTTTATTTTGTTTTTTACAAAAGCAAGATTATACTATACCTGAAGTTATGCAGCCAGCTCTTTTGCCTATTACAATATGAGCATATTTCCATTTCAATAGGTAGATTTTTGTAGTATCACTTTAAGGCGTACATTGTATTTTAGGCCTTCTGTTGCATTATGGGTGTACCATAATAAATTCATATGTTTAGCACTTGGGTCACTTACAATTATTTTTTTAATGTAAAAAGCACAGAGTAGGCATAATTGATTTAAATGCATTTGAAGTTAAGATGTACTGGATGAAAAAACACAAAGATCTGAAAAACAGACAAAGTACTTAATGTTCCTAGAATCTTTACAAAATTACTCTCTGGAGTTTGTGAAAATTACCAAAATCTGATTGACGGTATTCATTTTAGACCACCTTGTTATTTTGACTGTTGTCATTGATTTGAACCAATTTGTTTAACCAAGTCCATTCATGTTGCTGCCTCATGAGGATTATGACAAATAATGCAGAGGAGGCATCTAGAGGGTCTCTAGCATGGAGTAAGTGCTCCACCAATGCTAATCCCTTTCCTTCCTTTCTCTTCCCTTCCAAATGAAAGAATGAGTCCACCACAAGTTTTGAGGACATCCTTTATAAATAGTGGGTTCACTGGGTTTCCCATGTCTTTGTTTCATCACCCCTGGTGCCACCAGCTTCCAGTAAGGCAGAATTGGGTCCTATGTCTTCTTAAAGAGTGGAGATGCTCAAGCTGTTCACTGGCTCATTCTTCAACAAACATTTACAGAGGTCCATGTGTGTCAGGCCCTGCACCAGGAACTGGGGACATAAAGAAGTACTATGATGTGGCCCCTGCTTTCTAGGAGCCCAAAGTCTAGGGGGATAAACCAAGTGAACAGAAAATCCATTACAGCGGAAGGTGTGCGAGCACAGAGCAAGGGCATCTGAGCCAGCCTGGATATAAAGGGAATGATTTGTGAGTGATTGGCTGGTGGCAGTCACACAGTCACACCTGTTCCTTGTATGTCACTGCAGGTCATCAATGCCATCGAGCAGGACTACCGGCTGCCCCCACCCATGGACTGTCCAGCTGCTTTACACCAGCTCATGCTGGACTGTTGGCAGAAGGACCGGAACAGCCGGCCCCGCTTTGCAGAGATTGTCAACACCCTAGACAAGATGATCCGGAACCCGGCAAGTCTCAAGACTGTGGCAACCATCACCGCTGTGTGAGTCTAGTGAAATGGTGATCCCTAAATATGGGTGGTTTCATGGTCAGGGGCATAGCCAGCAGCCTCTAACCATGATCGTGTTCAAATTTTTTAAACAGTATCTAGTTACAGTGTGGGTCTTATGTTGAGGAGAGCACGCATGCGTGAAGAAAGACAGGTAGGAGAACATTGCAATGATCGTGATAGAGAAAATAGTGTCTTAAATCAGGATAATGGTTGTGGAAAAAAGTAAATGAGTTTTGGCAATTTGGGAGACAAAATCTTTATGACTTGGTGAAGGATTGGACGTAGATGTTGAGCGTGAGGGAGATGTCAAGATAGCACCCGGATTTCTGGTTTGGATACCTGGGTGTCTGCTTTGAAATGTGCCAAAGAAGGTTGGCAGTAGTTCTCATTGCTCCATTTTTTTTTTCAAATAGCTAAGGATGAAACTAGGAAAAAAATGTTACCAATATATCTGGGGAGGTTGTGGTAAAATATGCATATTTTTAAAAGGATCATGTCTTTGAATGGTGAGGCTCCTAAATTTTGGTTTACAAAGGAGTTGGGAGCCTTCCGTTCCCTTCAGACTGAACGCTATGTCAATCTGCCTGTCTGGGTTAACTGACCTGTGACAGTACCCAGAGGCAGAGACACTGGCCACCTGGGTGTAGAAGTCATGCTGATTTAGGACTCCATGAGGAAGAAAGGTTCAGCCCAGGGCTCCACTATAATCCTCATTCCATCAGGAATGCTGCCTTCCATGAAGTCAGCCGTCAGGCCAGACTGGGGCACTGTCCATGCATCTCTGCAGTGTGTGGTCATCTGCCCCTCTCTGTCTCACCAGGCCTTCCCAGCCCCTGCTCGACCGCTCCATCCCAGACTTCACGGCCTTTACCACCGTGGATGACTGGCTCAGCGCCATCAAAATGGTCCAGTACAGGGACAGCTTCCTCACTGCTGGCTTCACCTCCCTCCAGCTGGTCACCCAGATGACATCAGAGTAAGTGATGAGAATCTCTCTGTCCAGACCACACCTAGGGGTCAGTGCTCCTTCCCTGCTATTGCAGATGCTGTGAGTCCTATTTCTGGCCTCATCCCTGGAGCTCCGTCTCTGTATAGACCAGGCCTGGACAGGGAGCACCTTGGAAAGATGTAGGGGGATGTGAGGGTGGGGTGGGGAGGTGGAAATCCACTCTGGGCCCCAAATGAGAGTTCTTCAAAGTTATAGCCATATGTCATTTGCCTAATCACCCAGAGTCTCTTCCCCATTTAAGTTTTTAAACTCGACTCATCAAAGAGAACATCCAGATGGAAAGAACACAGACAGCCAGTACTTTAAATAACATAGCAGGAAAAGCATTGCACTGATTCAGCAACAGTCTGAGATGTGTGTGGGGCTTGTCCTTATCCTTAGATAGCAGTTGTCAATAAGCATGCATTTCCATCCCCCACAATTATTTACCAGTCTGTGTCTCCCACAGGAGTTTGGAGGAATACACAAAATAAAATTACTCAAATAAGATGAGAGCCAGAAAGAATTTTAAAGATCCATGTGGTCCAGCATTTCCCCTAAGAATGTTCAGAGAAGCACCAGTTGTGGGAAATGTTAATAGGTTCTCCTTGGAAAAAAGGTCCTGCAGTCAAATAAATTTGGGAAATATTGTGCACTTTATCACCCTCTTGGAGATTCACTGCTCATATTAGCATTATAAAGGCCACGAGAAATCCTGAAATAAAGGAACCCATTTAAAATTATTAAATACCATAGAACCATATTTTTGAGGGGCAGGGTTTTATAGAACTGTAGTCTGGGAAATATTTATCTAGTTCCACCCCTTCCATTCTGCAGATTCTGAACTTATGTGACATTAGTGCTCACAAGTGGCAAAGTTGAGACACAAGCCTGCTTTTCTGGCTGCCAGTTCAATGTTCTGCTACCTGTCCACCCCAGGGTCTCAGTGGTTCCCAGGCTTTGCTGCACACTGGAATCACCCGAGGACCTTTAAAAACTATTGATGCCTGGTTCTCACTCCCATACCTTCTGATTAGTTGTGGTGAGATCTGAGCATCAGAGATTTTTAAAGCTCCTCAGGTGATTCTAATGTGCAGCAAAGTTTGGGAACCACTGGATTAAGGTTGGCAAGGGTCAAATTTCACCTTCTATACTCACAGAAGCTCACATAATCCTACCTAGGAAATTAACTCTACCCTTCAAACACACACACACACGCACGCGCACACACACACACAGGGGGACTTCATGGGCTCCGTGGGCTACAACATGTACCAATAGCACATATTGTGGAATCTGGCAGCCTGTAATATACATTTCCTATGGTAGAAGATTCATTCATCCATCAGTCTGCAAACACGTATTGATCACCTATTATACAATGGGCACAGTGCAAGGTGCTGGGATTTCCTCCTTGCAACTGGGGCAAACCAGTTGCTGAGTCCCAGGAAAGAGTGGTGGTGAGCCACCTCGTAGCTGAGCCCCCAGGGACAGCTTCCTGACATTCTGACGGTTTTTCTGTCAGTATTCCTGGAATCCAGCTCCACCTCTCTGAGGTCTTTTTTTTTTTTTTTTTTCCAGAAATGGTGGAGCCACCACTTTCTCCAGGGAGATGGTTTAAATGTATGTCTAGCTTTGGATCCACTGAACATCAGAATACATTTCTTAAAAACTAGATTCATTTCCTGGTGATGCCATAAAAAGATGGTTCCTGCCATTAAGAATGACTGTCAAATAGACAGCAAAAATTAATAAATAGAAAAGATGCACTCCCCAGTGGAAAACCAACTTCCTCATCTTTTAGAGTGAAAATTGATGCCCCTAGATAATCAGAGGGACTGAGTTCAGAGATAGAATCAGGTGTTTATGAAGACTGGCTACTCCATTTTCCCACTGTGATTTGCCTGCGTATGGGGGCCATTGTCACATAATCCCCCAGGATCTAAAAGAATTCTCTCAGTCTGAGAATAATCACATGAAAAAGATAAGGGGAAGACCAAAAGGAAAGTGAAACTGTAAATTAAGGGATTTCGTTCAAAGTAAAGCATGTCCACACACTATTAGAGCAATTTGATTTGTTTATTGAGAAGTAAAAGAAGGAAAAGGAAAATAAGCACTTAATAAAATAGATTGTGGGACAATCTGTGAATTCAAAATTCAAGCATACCTCCCTAAAGTATTTGCCAAAAAGACACAAACACTTTGAGCATCTCAACCAGCAGCATCCCTTGGGAGACTGACTACTAACCGAAAGGGGCATGGGGCGGGACAGCCAAGGCATTGTGGACAGAGATCCATCCAAGGGTTCACCAGGGTCTGATGTGCAGTGTACAAAGCAATCAGCTGTGCCGGATTTGGGGGGCTTTAGAGGAAATACAGTCAGGACCTTAGAAGAGCTCTGCCAGCATCCCTGCAGGGGTGCTGAGAACCAACTTGTCTTGTATTTGAATACCAGCTCCACCACTGCTCACCTACTCTGTGACCTTGAGCACATTACTTAACTTCTCTGAGCCCTGCTTGCCTTGTTTATAAATAATTTATAAATTATTATAAATAATAATGCCCATCTCATTAGTCTGTGATGGGAGGTTAATGGAATGGCACACGCAAAGTACTTGATCCATTATCTACCCATAGCATGCACACAAAAAATTGTTACTGTTAAATTTTTATCATCATTGAGTTTGCAGTGGTTTCTCTAATTTTGTGAAATGCTTTCACATAGGTTTAAATGAGATAGTGTATGGCACGTGGGATGCATTCAAGCAGTGTTATGTATTATTATTAACTGAGAAAGAATGCATGGGTCTAGCATAGGTCAACTATAAGCCATGAACTTGTTCTTATTAATCCAATTCAGTGCTCTATCCTGGACATATTCCTTGGATTCCTGATTGGGCAGATATTTTAGTTATTTTGAGACCACTCTTCTTAAAAATACTTACATTAAAATTCAAACGGAGGCAGAAAATGGAAACTCAGGGGAAAACATCAGAAGACCAGGTGAGCCCCATATCTTTTCAGTCTCAGCGGGTGATCACTAATTTAGGCAGAAAACTCCACAGAATAACTTAAGCCCCATATAGTGTGCACTTGGAGTGTTAAAAAATAGCAGAGGAAAATTCCAGTCCATCTGAGGGTCAGGAGACAATGAAGGGGCTGCCTTAGAGCCCGTACATAAGGAACACACCCCTGGAACAAGGCGCAGCACTCCCAGGATTGTCTAAGCTGAGGGGGTATTAGAGAAGAGGGAGAAACTGAAAGTGAGCAGGAAAATCTCTAATTGCAAGTTGCCAAAAACTTGGGTAAACTTAAGCTAGTTGGATTTTTGTAGCATGGCTACTTCCCAGGAACATGGCTTTAGTGATGAGTTTTGATCTGCGAACAGCTGACCTAACACTAAAGTGACTTTTTTTCTGGCTCTTTCCTCCTAGAGACCTCCTGAGAATAGGGGTCACCTTAGCAGGCCATCAGAAGAAGATCCTGAACAGCATTCATTCTATGAGGGTCCAGATGAGTCAGTCACCAACAGCAATGGCATGAGAACTCTTGTTTTTTGGGGAAAGAGAGGAGGGAAAAGCACCAAGGTCAAGGGGGACCAGAGGTTGACCACTGTGGAATGTACTGGAGAGACTGGCTTCCCAGCTGAGGAATGCATTTCCATCAGTGAAGAATCAACCGGACCTGTTGCTAATAGGCAGCCTTCATTTCTCAGTGACAGAAGCATGTTTGAGATGCCGTGGGAAACCAAATATATAATAATAAAAATATAAAAAGGTGATGTTCAACAGAAGTGAAGGCAAAACAATATGCATCAGGAGAACAAGAGTAAACCCAGCTCCTATCCTCAGTGGGCTGGAGTTGCCCATCCACAGGAAGAAAGGGAAGGAGGTAGAAGGAAGAAACAGAAGCAGTGTTCCATTTTCTTCCTCACCAATGACATTCTTTTCTTTTCTCCTTTTGTACTCCTCCCTGAGAGTCCCCTCCCTTCTCCCACACTCGTTTCCCTTTGCTCATGACTCCTGTAGGGAAGTTTCTTCAAACAAAACCCAGCTCCTGAGTCTCCAGATGTTGTTCTGTCAGTTGCCAAAGGACTTTGCTGACCACTGCATGGGGATCCAACCAATTCAATTAATGTCTTCATATTGAAGAAGAGATGTACCTTCAATTGAAAACCTCGTTTTTCTTTTGTTTGCATTTTCTGCAAAAAGGAAAAAGAAACCACAAATTGGAGAAAAAAAAAAAAAGAAAAACCTGTTTCCGTGTGCCAAAGCACACATATGTATGTCTGCGTTATAAAATGACTGTGCTTGTTCATAACAGATGCAAACAAGAAAGAAGAACTGGGAAGTCTTTGTCCCTAGGAAATCCAAAGGGGCTGGAATATGGTGTTGGTTTGGCTTTCTGGTTGGCCCAATCGGCCTATTGGCTCAATGGGAAGAGAGGAGAGGGAGAAAAATAAAATGAAAGGAAAAAAATAAAAAGCTTGCAAATTCAGACAGGAAACAGGTGAGTGGTTTGAATTGGATGCAGTGTGGGCCATCCTGGAATGATACTGACTGATTAATTATTCCTGATAACATCTGAAGAAAAGGAGAAGGAAAGTGTTTCTGGAGAATGTTCTTTCACATCACTGGAATCTGCAATTCAAGAAGTGACAAGGGAGAATTCTTGCTTTACCTATGGACTGGCTTAAGCCACGTGGCATCCGAGGAATGTTTCAAATGTGTCTGTGTTTCTCTTTACATTCCTTATTGTACCTCATCGTTCAATTCACTTTTGTAAATTCCACCTAACATTTAATTATTTTTAATTTCTCCTTTTACCTTAATCTCCTTGCTAATTTTATCTGTCTAATTAAAATGAGCAGAAGCATGTCTGGGTTTACGTAAAATGGTGTCAGAGTGTGTATACCTGGACCCCAGTGGGTTGTCCCCAAGTTTCAAGAGAATCCTTAAAAACTGTCTTTCTTCTTTCTAATGTGGGAGGGAGGGAACACATCCCTGACCCCATGAATGCCAAGAAGCAGAATATATTAAACTCACTGGCACTGATGTGACCCAAAGGAAAAACTGAATAAAAGAGGCTTAAGAAGTCGCTGGCAAATAAACACAAACAATCACCATGAATACACTATCAACCCTGATTTTAGTTTACACACTGCATTTGAGAAGTCCACATCCAGGCCAATTTTGTAAATGTAGACTGCTTGGTTGTGGTTTATCTATGAACGTGCAGTTGGGAGTGGAGGGATATGAGGTAGTGAAAGATGTTATGGTTGCCAAGTAGCTCATTTAATACATATTTACATTGATAATAGCCTTTTCCCCTAGTCATTGTTAACTTTGATATGAGGTGGTTCTTGTCTTCTAAAATCACTGGCCAAGATCCCCTGAACAATCAACCCCCTCAGAGCGGCCCACTGGCCTGGGGGTACAGCATTAATTCAGGGGAGCTCATCTTAATCACCATCCATGTGCTGAACCCCTGGAGAATGGAAGTAGATGGACAGAACTCCTCTCAGCAAGTTTGCCTGAGGCTGCAAAGGACCCCAAACCAACCACACAAGTAGAAGAGAAAATTTCCCTTTATTAATTGCTTACCAATTCCATGCACAATTTACTAATTACCCCAAAGACCCCAATCCATGAGTATCATACAAGTCTAAGCAATTTGGCTAATCTACTCTCAATTTTCCACAGGAATGAATTTTAATCTGTCACTAAATTCCTCTGGCAGAATCTTTAACCCCGAATTCTCACTGCCGCCTCCACCAATGCCAGCTCATCTTCTGGTTGTGGACAAAGCAGGGTCGAGGTGAAAGTCCTGTTAAACCCTTTGGCTTGGTTTCACCATAGATCCCAGAATGGAGAGAGCGAGAACCCAAAGTGCACAAGAGGAAAGCATGAGAGGTCAGCAGAGCCAAGGCCAGGGTGCCTCAAGGCACAGTTTTCAGTGAGGTGAGCACGACCAAGATCTGGACACCCCCAACCGCCACAGATGCCCTGCACAAGGCCCCACCCCTACACCCCAGATGAACTACAGGAACACATGAAGCCTGAAGGGAAGGAGATGTGTCGCTAGTGAGTGAGACACATTACCTCTGCAGCACGGGGCCAGCCATGAATCTTTCTGAGCCTCCATTTCCTCATCTGTGTAATAGGAAAATATCACCTACCTTCGATGAAGAGTATCTAACATTCATGAGCAGGTTCTCTATGCCAGGCACTTATCTAAGTGCCTTACATGCATGAAATCTCTTCCTTACCGTAATCTTGTGAAGTAGTAGCAGGTAATTTATTGTTCCCAATTTTGGATGAGGAAACTGAGAGACAAAGGCCCTTCACAGATCACACAATGGTGGAGTCAGGATTTTGACTCGGGCAACCTGACTCCTTGCTCTTAACCACTTACCCCAGTGGGTCTCACACTTGAGTATGCATTGGTATCACCTAGAAGTATTGTTAAAACAAAGATCATAGGCCCCACCTTTGGGCTCCTGATTCAGCAGGTCTAGAGTGGAACTAGAGAACATGCACTTCTCACAAGTTTCCAGGTGCTGCTGATGCTGCTGGTCCAGGGACCATGCTTTGAGAACCACTGTATTACCCCAGCCTACCTTCCTGAGAATTAGTGATAATAGACATAAAGCTCCTGCTTCAGGAAATCGTAGTGATCAGGGTTCTTGAGATACCCAGAAAGAAGGGAATGAACCCTCACACTTTTGGCATGAAGTGATGGGAGAGGCTGGTTCCCATCTAGTGTCTCCTCCACTGGCACATTTAGCTTCAGGGGGCTTTACTCACACCTTCAAAGAAGCTCCGTGGGGAGAATACTGTCAGTGAGATCCCCAATGCTCTAAATTTCAGCTACATATGCTGCCTCATCATCTCACAGAAGACTAAATCCAATTTGGACCCTTACTTACACTTACTTGCTTACTTACACTTTGCACAATGGTCAGTGGCCCATGGCCCTGAGAGCCAGGTTAAAGAGATGGAACCTGCAGCCATGCTGTGTAGCCCAGAGTGTGAGCTAAAAGGGGACTGCTCAGCCAGCACAGAAAGGGGACTGCTCAGCCAGCACATAAAGGGGGCTGCTCAGCCAGCACACCTGCAGCCACTGGGAGTCAGGTGGGCAGAGGTCACACGGGGGCAGGTGGGAGGTGTTTAATTAATGTTCCCGGGTCAAGGGTAATGGAAATGGAGGTGATTTGTGGAGAATTCTTGGAGATTATGCCCCACCTTTCCACACCCTCTCCCTGTCCCTTCCAGCACTCAAAGACATGAATGACTGTAGAGAGGTAGATAAATCGACAGATTATATGTTTATTGTATCACCTGGGTGTCCAAATACATTCATACACTACTGAAATTATGTGCTTCTTTCCACCTTCCACCTCTCCATATGTCTCCTTCCCACCACATTACATGTGGAGCCAGGCCACTGGATTCTTGCCAAGGCCACCTGGGATAATGGAATTAAATGAGAACACAAAGTTTTTCTTAACCGTGCACTTATGAAGAGAGCAGAGAAACCAGTGAGGGTTGAGGAATAGGACTTTAGGAATATCGGAGGGCAGGAAGACTGAGACATACAGCAGGAAGAAGAGAATTTACAAAGTATCAGTTAAAATGAAAGGTTCTAACAGTTCCCTGGCATTCTAAGAAGGCCTTTTGGCCTTTTGGAGGAGCCTGGGAATCCATCATCTTTTCAGAAATATTAGTGACTCTGGCACCAACTGGCTGAGGGCATGGTGAGGTCCCTGTCAGTGAAGCAAGGGGGAAGACACAGCCATGATGGGGATCAGCCACAAAGAGGCACCATCCAGAGCACTCCAAGGACACACAGTGCTAAAAGAGGCCTTACGATTCCTATCAGCGTGAGTTCTGCATTGGCTGAGACTTGCAGTCCATGTAGAAGTCATAGAGCCATTTCTGAAGTGGCGAGAGGTTTTGTATTGTCCAAGATATCATTGGGACATCGGTCAGGGGCACAGTAGAGGGGAATCCCTGAGGTCACAGAAAGGTGGCCAAAAGAGGAAAGGGTATGTCTAGATCACACTGGAAGGTCATTCCAGTTGACTGAGGTCCAATGGCAACTATGTTCACCACCAGGGAGTCTCCTGAGACCAGCCATTTCCAAATGAGAACAGTTATACAGAGGTCTGAGAACAAATTCTCAGTCCCTCTCAGAGAGTGCAAGCACTGGTAGGGGGTGGGAGGATGTGTTCTGCAGACCTGATGAAGGGTGGATGGGATGGGTGGGCCTCCATCACTCACCGGGGAAAAAGGAGAGCCCTCCCTCCTGCATCCCGCCTGGGCTGGCCCTGTTATCACAGGTCCTTGAGGGGTTCTCATGCCACTGTGAGTCATGACTTAGCACATAGTATCCTAGCAGAACCTTGTGGTAATTCTCCAAATGAAAGTGGCCACAGGACACATCCTACTCACCTATGTACCCAGCACTCAACACACTGACACATGGAAGATGCACAATAAATGTGTGGTGATTGAAATAAGTTTGAACTGAGAAAGTTTAACATGTCGTTATTTCACCTACAAAAGTCCATGACCTTAAAGAGCATGCTTTAAAATAAATTAATCCCTGGGTATTTGGTTGGAATCTTTCTCAATTACTCTAACTGCTATCAATCGTAGCCTATTCTAATTTTAGTTTTGTGAAGTTTAAAATGCTCCTTTTAAACCCTGTTTGAATCTTTAAAATAATGTCACAGTTTTCCCCAGAGCCCATGCCTGGGGTGAAGCAGCCTCCCACTGAGTGTCAGTCATTGTGCAAAGGCCTTGAGATGCAGGAATAAATTTGATGTTGTCCCTGGTACAATGGCAGCAAATTCAAAGGGCATTGCAGAGCAGAGCTGAAGGATGGCCCAACCCTCTGAGAGCAGAACCAGGGCTGTGTCCTGCTGGAGGATGTCTGACTGAGCAGAGAGGATGGGCAGCACTTCTCTGGCCAGTGAAACTTCATTGGTGTTTTGTACAACTCCCTCTACACACCTCGACTCTAAGGCTTTCTTCCAAGAGTTGTTTGTCCTTTCTAAAGCTGCTATTACTTTAAGAATTTCTGTGGCCTCCCTTTCACCAGAAGAAAAAACATGTTGAAATAAGAAAACAAAACAAAATTTTGGGTAAATGAGCTACTTCTAAGCAACCGAGAAATACTCTTAAATGAGAGAAGTTCTCTTTACCCCAGGAAAACTTTGGTTTTTCTCTTCTGGTCTTATTTAAATTCATAAATGCATGTACATGAGCAACTGCTACACTCTGAAAATGGCTTTCTGACAGAATACAATGACAAGTAAATTTCAACTACAATTTTTATAGCAGAACTCAATGTTGTAAATAACTCCAATGGGAAAATGAAGAGGGCTATGGAAGCATAGAGGCGGGCACTACCATTGTCCCAGGCAGTTAAAGAAGGCAACCCCAAGGTAGTCTGCTAAACTGGAACCTGAGGAATGGAAGGTGTTATCAAGTTGAGGGAGTGGTGTTGGTGGAACTCAAATTGTAGATAGAAGGAACAGCAAGGGCCGAAGTTCAAAAGCCAGAGAGTACACGGCGTGTTTGTGGGCTCACACACTGCTGGAGAGGCCGGAGAATCCCGTGCTCCCTCTGAGCAGCTGGACGGGTAGCAGGGGCTAGAACATGATAAGGAATCCAGGTATTACTCTGAGTGCAAGCTGTGGAAAGTAGGTTGAAGCAAGGGAGTTATATTTTATACAAATCACTCTGACCACAAAATAGAAAAGGGAATGGCAAAAGTCGATTCAGGGAGACTAGTTGAAAGGCTGGTGTAATAATCTCAGCAGATGCTGGCAGCGTGGGTGAAGGTGTAGAAGTAGCAGTGGGGATGGAGAAAGGTGGATTGATTCAAGAAATAAAAAAGAGGCGAGAGCAGCAGAAGGGAAAGGGGGATTGGCTTTCAGGGGTGAGGGAGGGAAGAGTTGAGGATGACACTCCAAGTTTCTGATTTGGGAAAATGGGTGGATTTTGATACCATTCACTGACATAGAGAATACAAAAGGAGGAAGAAACTGTGGGAGAGGGGGACAATACGAATTCGAGTTGCCTGTGAACCATTGGATTTAGGGCTGCATCATTCAGCAAAGAAATTTGGTTTGAAGATATAGATTTGGGAGCCATCCTTTGTCTAGATGGTAATTAAAGCCACAGGGGTAGAGGAGTTTACTGCATGAGAATGTGAGTGGAGAGAAAAGTGAGCCCACATGGGACCCTGAGAAACAACCATATTTAACCAATGTCCAGGCAAAGGAAGGCTCACAGAGGAGTCTGGACAGAGTCAGTACAGAAAAAGAGAAATCAGGAATGTGCGGTGTCCATAGAGCCAATGGGAAATATCTCAGGGAGGGAATGGTGGTCCCAATTCCCAGTGTTGCCAAAAAGAGTTACTATTAGGTAAAGATTAAAAACTGCCCATGACTTTAACCACAGGAAGGCCTGGGTGACCACGGTAAGAGCAGGTTCAGCAGAGAGGTATTGGTAGAAGATGCTAGTTGAGTCGAGGAAAGAGAGAACATCACAGTCTTTCAAAAAGGGTGACTTTGAAGAGGAGAAGAAAAGGATGTAGCTGGAGGCGCTTTTCGGTGGTTGTTATTTTGTTATTTTTTAGTGGGAAAGACTTGAACATGTTTAAAAGCTAATGAAAAAGATTCCACAGAGAGAGAAAAAGAGAAAGAGGGTAATTGAGAAGGTCAGACCCCCAAGAAGGCAGGGAGTTCAGGTGGAGGGATGGTATGGCTTAAAGTGAAGCAATTCCAATTCAGTTTGGAGGATGAACAAAGGAAGCATGACATGAGTTCCTAGCAGAACTCAATCTCACCTTCCAATTTCTGTGTCACAGTCTAGTCATTTAGTTCCCACAGCCTCTCGTGATGAAGAGCCATGATTGAACTCACCCGCCTTGCCATGGCAATATGAGAATAATCAGGCAAACACACCCATTTCTAGTGAAATGGGAGAGTGGGCAATGAGAGGATCTAGTGAGAAAGGAAGATGAAAACATCACAGGCTCTTCTCCTGCTCAGAAGCCCTCGGTGGCTACCCAGTGCCGGTTTCTGGTCATGCCCACCTCTCCAGGAAATGAAGGCTGCAGAAAGTGCCCCGTGTCTAAACTGTATGGCTAGAATGAACTGCCTCCGGTTCTGGGCAGCTAGTTCTCCTTTTGCTAGATTGCTGTGGCTCTGTGTTGACTCTTGGAGAGCTCCCTCACCCTCATGCTGAAGCAATTGCCTTCCGCCTCCAACATACACTAGGAAAGGTCTGGATCCAGGAGGCTGAGCACACGAGCACCTAACCCTAAATGCCAGTGGAGTATGGCATGCCAACTGGACTTCTGTGTGATCATAGACACCTCAGGGATCTCTGGCCATAGTCAGGACGTTTCCAGAGAAGAAAATGCTGATTAGGACTCCTGTACCAAGTTTGGGTATAAGGCGACACTTAAACCTTACATTTATAAATGTAGACATTTCCAGCTGTCACCCTTATACCCAAACTTGGTACAAGAGCCCTAATCAGCATTGTCTTCCCTGAAAGTAAAGGGAGTCTTCTCTTCTTAGTGGAGTCTTACATTCTTCTTAGAATGTGAAGGGAATCTTTCTACCAGCTAATTAGAGGAGGTGCTCCTGGGTTGGGGGCTGAAATTATGGCCACTTGAGAAGTTCTCAAAAATAATAATCATAAATTAAATAATATAAATGGTAATAGCAATTGCCATTTTTTTGAGTGCTTACTACAAGCCAGGCAAACTAATTACTTCTACAACTGTTATTACACCCATTTTGAAAGTGAATTAACTAATGAGGTTCAGAGAAGTTCAAGTAGCTTGTTCTAGATCACACTGAAAAGCAAGGATTGGAACTGAGCCTATTTGCCTGAAGTGTGTTCTCTGAGTTACCAAGCTATACCCCCACCTGAGCCAGACGCCTTCCAGAAATTCCTACTGGCCACCTCAGTCCTGCCACACAGTGCAGGCAACTTATCTACACTCTGAGGCTTTATGTCTATAAAATGGGAATAATATTCAACACACAACGTTTTGCAAGGGTGAAATGAGGGGCCACACATAAATCACATGGTCTGGTCCTGGTTGTTGGGAGTACTCAGTAAATGGTGGCTGGTATCAGTTTATTATCCTTCTAGTTATTTGGAAACATGATGTAAAAATAGAAAATGAATGGGTCCCTGAGGTTTGTTGTAAAAAGTCATCTTGCCTTCTGATAAAGGTCAATCCTTAACCTCCGTGGATGTGGGGGTTTTGTGAACTTCATGGTTACGTGTATCTGTCATCGTAATCATTTCTCCCCTTCGCATTGCATGTTTGCAGAGATTGAAGCTGAGCTTTGCCTTGCTCCTGGGTGGATTCCCAGGCTGCTTGCCATATTGGACCAAGGGCTAGATTCTGGAACTTCAATATGTTGTATAGGCACGTTGCTTGCTCATTCACACAGGCCCATGGCTTTTCCTCCCTGCTACTAAGTCAAATATCCTCTTCTGATTAAAGTCCAATTTCTGGGCCTATCAGTCCATACAAAGAGATTTTTTCAGTTAAATAACTGTTCAGAGATTTTCTTGTGACTGCAATGTCATCCTTGGGGTCAATCTGTTAGGTTTCCAAAAGTGTGCTGAGTGCACCATCAGTGGGTGAGAGGGTTTCAGGACACATGTATCCACATCCTTTACACATTTATGTTAATATGCACTAGAGAAAAATATAGGTAGCACAAAAACATATACATTATTTCACACTAATTATAATGTTCCTTTAAAAATAAGTTTATGAAAGTAAAACTGGATATTAGTTTTAGGGAAATAATGGTAACTAAAAGATAGTACAATTAATGTGTGGATATGGTAAAATATTATAGAGGGAACTGAAAAATTGAAATGTGGAAACCTATGAATCCTTATCACCTGTGTCCCCATTTCCCACCACCACCCCTCTGGCACCCATCAAGGCTGTCACGGTCCCTGGTGGCCACTGCTCAACCCCTGCCCTGTCCCACCTCCTCTCACCTGGCTGCTTCCTGGCTGTGCTTCAAGCCTCAGCTCTACTTGAAGGATCCCAGATTCCTCCCACTTGGGTTAGCTGCTTCTCCTCTTTGCCCACTACATTCTCTGTGCTTCTCACCATCACAGTGTTCAGCCCTCTGTATTAGCACGGTCTGTTCATGCATCTTTATCCCTGGGAGCTCCATCAAGCAAAGGAGCATGTCTTATTTGTGGCCGAATCTACTGGCCTGGGGCACTGTCTTCATACAATAGATCTGCTGAATAAATGAACTAATAACTGAATCCAGGCACCTTTGCCATCAGTCACTTCCAACTGAGGAAAGCAAAAGACCAAGCATGCTCATTGATTACATTGATTCTTCTTGAAGTTACTTCACCTCAGGCTCAAGGTTGGGCCACGCATATTTCAACTCTCTAGGACTCCGTGGACATAACCCTGATCACATGATTTCATTTGTGCTCTCTCTAA